CCATATAAAAAATCAAATTTTCTGTTGATAATTCTTAAATTGTTAATTTTAAAAAAATTATTCTTAAACTATTAAATTCTACGTAAAAAGGTGCTTTGGAAATATTTTCATAAAAATTCAAAATTTTCCATAGCAAAAAAGTTACAGCGATTTGTTAAAAATGCATATTTTTGAAAAACAACCCGGAACTCCGAAACGGTAACAGATATCGATATGCGATTTTTACCATCATGTTTTTGACAAAAATTGAGCTCCAGACACCGATATTATCTCCTATAAAAGAGGGTGTTTTCATTTAAAAGCGTCGAATTTGACCCACCCTGTACAGGCTCTCGTCTACCAATCTCAAGGTAGTGGGTTCGAATCCCACACCCGGCATTGTATCAGCCGACTATTTTTATTAAAATAAAAATAGTTTGGGTACCTAGTTCGACTCAGCCTTAAATGAGTACTTGGGATTCACAATCCTGAGGTAATAACAGGCGGTTGAAGCGTAATACTAGCCACATTACCTTCCTTGTATACCGAACGGCTCTAGTATGGCAAGCTGTACCTTGCTACTCCCAAGGCGTTAAACGCTATATACCTACGGGAGCTATTATTAGTATTATATATGGTTTTGTAACAAATTGCTCGCTCTCTTATGGCAAATTCTGAAACTCTGCAAACGTTAATCGAACCTTAATCAAAGCACGTGTGTTTGTAATTTCGGGTCCATCTTCAGTGTTCCGTGTCATTTAAAAAGTGGTAGCATCTTTGTTATTTAAACGGAACACCCAGATTATTACATTTTTGGAAACCACACATCTCATAATTTTTTTATTATACTAACGTATACCTATAGTAAACGCCACGAATGTTTGGGAGTGATTCATCGCTTGATGAAATTAGAATCGACACGCGCGCTATCATTTTTACATTAAAAACGTAAATTTTTACCGCAGACGTAGGTTTTTAAAGGCCCGGTCTAATCATCTGCCTGCGCTCCTCCTACTTATTCTAAAATGTTAGCGTGATTGACAAAGACGATACTATATCGCGTTTCTTTGATTGATTGGTTTTTGTGCGTCAGTCCATTGGTGTGCTTGCAGTGCGACCAATGGGGCGTTCCAGTTTATATTTATAACCAAATATATGTTTTGACAAGACTTTGACATTTAAAACAACAAATTACAACATATTATATATTGATTATTATAAGACTTGAAACACCACGGCACTGGAATTAAGTTTTATGTGACCTTGAGCAGATTAGTTCACATGGTAGCGACCGATGAATCACTCCCAAACATTCGTGGCGTTTACTATATCTCCATAACATTTTTAAAGTTGAAATTTGGGATAGAAAACGTTAGAAAACTAAAATTAATCCATTTGATATTATCTGATTTCATACAATAATTCAAAGTTGACGAATTATTGCCTAGTCTAACTTCTTTAATATTATTGTGAATGAAAAATAGGAGGATAACCTACAAAAAGAAATGAGATCCCATCAAAAACATAGAATCTAAAATATGCCAAGTCTCTCAACAGATTTCTTCCACTATAAAAAGTTGTGAGATCTCCTGTAAAACAGACAGTTTATTTTATTTGGTTTCTCTTTAAGCACCTATTCAACAATTTTATTACAAATTGTTATTAATATTAATCAACTTCTTTGATGATTAATATTAATATTCTTATCATCAGATGGGATTGTTTTTTCGACTAAATAAAAGCTATTTTGTTGTAAGAAAGGGTCATAGTAGAAATATTCACAATATGTACACAATTTGAGTAATTATATCTGAATTTTGATCATTTTTTATCATCATTAAAATTCATCAGCTGTAGCAAGAGGGCAGATTTATTTATGAAATAAACAACAACGCCACTGGAGAGAAATTATATGAGTGTGGCAAATGCAATTGCGAGAGTAGTAGTAGGGTAGACTGGCATCTAACATCCCCAGGGCTGATTTATTAATGGTTCTTAAGCACGAAATACAAGGGGCACAAATTTTCGACTGTGTAAGCACATAAATCAGGATTAGATACAAGGAATGAAAAAAACGCCAATTTTTTACTATAATTGAAAAGAAAATATGTATTTGATTGAGATAGTGAACTTTGTGAAGTCAGTTTGAATGAAATACATTTTTTTAACAATTTGATTTAAAGACCTCTTGAAAAAAAAAATGAAAACCAGCGAAAATAAATTCAAACACCTTAAGCTTCATTCAGAACCTCACAATTAGTGGAATAAATTAGTGGTTTCAATTAGCATCAGAAGTTTGTTCCTTTAATTCCAATTTTCAATAGCAATTTTAACTTTAGTTTCAATAGCATAGAAGTTTGTTCCTTTAATTCCAATGTAAGAATTTAGAACGTCAAAATTAGTGGTAGACATTTTCAATTAGTAGAAAAAAATATCAAACTTTTAACTTTTCCACTAATTATACTTCAAAATTTGCGAAAAATGTCATTTTGGCCCTTGAATATCTCCCGTCAAGATAAATTGTGGTTAGAAATCAAAAGTTGATTGTTTTATAAGCTAAATATTGTTACGTTTTTCGTCGGTTCCGTGTGGATAGAAAGTCACAATTTATTTAAACACTATTTATTTAACACTAATGAACAAAAATAATAACGATAAAAGACTTATAGAACTATTTACAAACGATTTATAACTAAGAATTTATTTTGAATTTTAGCGCGTCAACTGTATATTTATAACTGCCCTCTCTAGGCCACTGCCGCCGGCTTTTATACCGACAGGTAAAAGAAATCTAGAATAGTCCATAGATCGTTAGGCGCATAGAGAAGGTTTTCGAATGTTCTCGTATGTACTAGTCCATTCTAGTGGGTCTCGATTCTTCTCGAACGAATGAATCACTGCGGTGTCTATGCGATGTTAAGGTCATCCGAGGGCGGGCCATATTGTGAGGTTAGGTCGAGTCCACACCGGCTCGCAACAATATTATAGGCATTCTCTATCGATGCAACTGACTAACGCAAGCTGTTGCTAGGATATTCTATTAATTTATGTGTGTATTACTCTATAATGGTTACGCAAAAATTAACGAGTTGACTAGCTAGCTAGTGAGTAAACTGTAGCAGTACTACTATTTTGCTTACTTATAACTTAAAAATTGTGTATTGGCTATTACTACTTAAAAGAGAGAGAGACTCAACTTTTAAAATTTGAACTTAAAGGCGGACCCTGACGACTCGTGTACTTGACAAACACTTGCCATGTTGTGTGAGTGGTTTACTTGAAAAAAAATGTTGTTTACAAAGATGGTATACTTGCCAAGTACACGAGTCGACACAGTCCGTCTTAAGACAAAAAATTATTGAAGTGAAACTCTTTTACGCGCGCTAGGAGCAATATACTTATACTATTTTTTAAAATTACCTGCTTAATTTTAATTAAGATTTAATTGATTTTCAGATTATGTATATCCAAGGCCAACTTGACAGTGTACCGTGTCACTATGACAGTTTTTGAAGAACTGCGGACATGGATCTCGAGATTCAGGATATCAAACTCGATTCAATTTAGATAGAGTTTATTATTGAAAAAAAATAAAATGTGAACATGAGAACTTTCATTCGCGCTATTTTCTATTGACAATACATATTCTTGTGACAGGTAACTAAAGGAGGGTTCACACCTATTATACATATAATGCTGCGTTTACAACTATAAGAATCGTATACATCAACACACACCTTCAATTCTTACAATACTAAAAGAATATTTATTCTAATACATGCAAAAAATATTAAAAATAAACTTAAAAGTTATACTGAATTTTTGTCACAAACATTTAACATATCTCTAAAATATTTAAATTTTGGTGTACTTAGAGATTTTGTGAAAATATCTCCAACTTGTTCGGCTGTGTTTACATAGAATAATATTATTTTATTTTCACTAACACACTCTCTTACAAAATGGTGTTTAACGACTATGTGTTTTGTACGTTTAGTTTCTAACGTATTTGACATTTTTATACAAGACTGATTGTCTTCAAGAACATTCACAGGAAAAGCATTAAGGTTTAACAATTCAGACAAAAGTTGTCCAACGAAAATACATTCAGAAGTACAATCTGATAAGGCGATGTATTCTGCTTCTGAACTGCTCAAAGAAACTGTTGCTTGTTTTTTTAGATTTCTAAAATACAAAGTTATTAAAAATTTTAATTTCGTATCCTGAAATGCTTTTTCTGTCATATGTTTCATTGGCATAATCTGCATCAACATAAGCACATATAATTTGATTAGATTGTTCTGAATTTTTATATAAAATACCAAAAGTTTCTGTTCCTTTTAGATATCTTAAGGTATTTTTCAAATATCTCCAATGTTCATTATCAAAAAAATTTTGATATCGACTAAAAAAGTAAATACAATAGCTTAAATCATATCTTGTTCCTAACATTATATACATTAAGAATCCTATTAGCTCTCTATATGGAAGATTAGTATTTTTATTTATGTTATTAGCAAAACTTAAATTTAATTTTAATTGAATTGGAATATTCATTATTTTACAATTTTGCATGTTAAACTTTGATAAAACATTCTGAATTAAGGCTGTCTGACTTAAAAATAATATGTTATTTTGTTTTTCAATTTCTAAACCTAAAAATTTTAAGATAAAATTTTCTTGACATTTTGGTGAAAGATCATGCATTTCGAAAATTAACATTAATTTCTTCTTAAATACATCTAACTTCTTCTGACTTCTGTACACCTTCATGTATCTTCATATATACTGGTTCAGATAGATCTCCGTTTAGAAACGCACACTTAAAGTCAAGTTGATTGATACACAAATTTTTCTCTAAACTCAGTGATAGAAGTACACGTATGGACATCATTCTTGCTACAGGTGAGTATACATCTATGTTGTTATACTGTCCTTGCTGATAACCTCTTGCTACAAGACGAGCCTTCTTAACCACTGTACCATCACTTAAGTTTTTTTGTTTAAAAACCCATCTTGAGTCAATTACTTTCACATTCGTAGGTCTTTTTATCACTTCCCAAGTATCGTTTTTGTTGATTGCACTTCATTGCTAGTTCATTTTGTATAGCTTCTTTCCAACCTTGTGACATGGCATCCTTGAAGTTTTTTTGTGGAGAGTCAATACTTTCTATGAATAACGCTATCATTCCTTCATCATATCTGTCACTAGAGTTGTCATAATTTAAGTCATAATCTTCAAAATGTTTAGATACTTGTATTGTTCTTCTTGGTCTTTCACTTTTGTTCACTATGTCTTCATAGTTTTCTACTTCAGGGTCTTCTTGATTAGAATTGATGCTTTCTGAGTCATTATCTTCAGCATCTGTCACATCATCATCATGAATTGTAACTTTTTCTTGTTGCTTACGAGTTCCAAATATTTTTGTTTCGTCAAATATTACATTCCTAGTAACTAAGATTCTTTCTTCTTATGGATTCCAAAGACGATAGCCATTATTTGTATATCCTATTAGATACATTTTCTGACTTCTCTTGTCAAATTTATTGTGTCTGTTTTCAGCTGGAATATGTACATAGGATAAACATCCAAATATTTTTATTTTCGATAGTTCAGGCTTTTGTCCAAACCAAATTTGTGCTGGTACAACGTCGTCTGGTAATGTTGAACTTGGGGTTCGATTAATAAGATAAGCTGCTGTTGCCACAGCTTCTTGCCAAAATATTTTGTCCATATTTGCTTGAAAAATTAAACATCTGGCCTTATCTAACACAGTTCGATTAAATCGTTCTACTACTTCATTTTGCTCAGGTGTTCTAGGTATGGTATATTCAAGTTTTATTCCTTTTTGTTTACAGTAGTTTTTCATCTCATATGATATGTATTCCCCACCATTGTCACATCTAAGTCTGTTTGATGGTAATTTCTGGAATTGATTTTCCACCATGGCAATATATTCCCTAAATTTCTAGAATGGTTCACTCTTATTTTGCATGAAATATACCACAGAAAAATGAGAGTAATGATCAATGAAAGAAATGAAATACTTTTTATCATCATGTGACCTTGGATTTAATGGACCACAAACATCACTGGATATACATTCGAAAATATTTTTCGCTTTCCTCTCATCAGATAATTTCTTAAAAGGCTTTCTTGTTTGTTTTGCTTCTAGACAAACATCACAAATACTGGTTGACGTATATTTTGAAGAGTGTCCCATTCTCTTGTGCCATAAATCTTTTTCATTTATCGTCTTTACCAAATTTGTTTTACTATCAAATTCTGTTTGATTTAAATTTAAATTTAGTATGTACAAATTCCCTTCCAGCTTCCCTCTTAGAATAATATTATCGTTTTTGCTTATAATAACTTGTTTGTTCTGAAATATTATTTTTAAATCTTTGGATTCCATCTTTTTAACAGACAATAAATTATGAGTTAAATTTTTACAAAGAAAAACATTTCCTAATTTTATTTTCTGACCATTCTGTGAAATTAAATGAAGAGTACCTTCATAGTTGGCTATAACAGGTTCTCCAGCCTTGGTGACTTTTATTGAGTGGTTAACATTCTTTTTATTCATTAGAAATTGCCCTGCAAAAAAACTGTTCTGTTATTAAATGGTTTGTGCAACCTTACTTCTACTACGAATTTTAAAGGATTGTGGCTATTCAATTTAGTTCTACTTTCATCAGAACACAGCTAATAAAGCTTACCTCATTTTTACATTGATTTTCTTCTTCAGCTAAATTCGCTTTCTGGCTTTCCTTTTTATTCTTGAAACAGTCCACCTTTTTGTGACCAACTTTCCCACATAGATAGCATTTAAAAGGACATTTCTTCTTCGCTGTTTTCTTCTTATTCTTGTTCTCGTTATTACCATAAAAAGATGCAGAACTTCCTACTTCTGGAGTTAAATTACATTTTTGTCTTTGTTCTTCTGCCATCGATCCATTGCCATCGAAAGGTTTTATCACATTTCCTGCGCTTCCCGACATTTTTCTTTTTCCACGCATTACTGTTTAACCTCTAAATCTTTCCTGTGTTTCCTAAATACCCGATCTGCACTATACTGGGCCCATAACCTGAAAAACTGCGGACATAGATCTCGAGATTCAGGATATCAAACACGATTCAATTTAGATAAAATTTATTATTGAAAAAAAATGTGAACATGAGAACTTTCATTCGCGCTATTTTCTATTGACAATACATATTCTTGTGACCGGTAACTAAAGGAGGGTTCACACCTATTATACATATAATGCTGCGTTTACAACTATAAAGCTGGATTTATAAACTCGGAAGTTGGCGTTCAGTTGAGGTTCAGTTGCAGTTGTATGTTCGCGGCAGTTGAGGTTCAATATTTTTGCATTTATAAACTGTCAGTTTCGGTTGTCGGTTAGGTTTGGAATTGTGAAAATTTCGAATGTTTTTCTTTCGATTTAAAAATACTTTTGGTATTTCTCAAAGTTCAAACACAGAAACACACTAAACCAAACACAGTAATCCACGATTACGCAAAATATAAACATTACATTAACAGAAATAATGAAACAACAATAAGAGTCATTTTCCAATGCCACGGCGTACTGTGCTTCACGTGATCGACAGGCGCTTATTCATTGGCTGTCGCCAAACCTCGCCAACTGCCCGCAACTGCCGACATAAACATTGACCATCTTTGAACTCCGTTGAACGTAAAACGAACTGCCAACTTTTCGACCAACTGACTTTATAAATGCGCGCGTTCATTTCATAGCGTTGAACATTTTGAACGGCAACTGAACCTCAACTCCCGAGTTTATCAATCCAGCTTAAGAATTGTATACATCAACAGTTTTGACGTAAGAAACGTCATAGATTGATGTCGTCCGATCGCGACCAAATTTGATGGGTTGGCTATGTGACGATGCACTCGGTCCTACCAAGCGACGGACGGTGCACACGGTCCTACCCTGAAAAAATGGATACGACGTTTCGTTTACATTTTCATCAGGAGGAGACTAAGGATTTGATATTGAAGAAAAATGTGGGTCGATTTCGGCATAATTGGGGACGGGCTACAGGATGACGCCTTTGACGTTTCGAAACGAAATCATCAGGATTTTTCTTAATTATGGGGATATTGGAACCAAATTCGGCAAGTGGTACCCGAATGGAGTCCTCAGACGGACAGACGGTCATTTTAATACAAATTTTGTGAAAGTGAATCAAATTATTTATTAATTTTTAATTTATTACTTTTTCAACATTTCAAACTACACTTTTTCAAGCATATCCTTCAAATATTTCAATTTAATGGCTGTTAGTGAGAAGTTTCACTTCACGTAGTGCACATACAATTTATTTAATGTTGTAATTTTTCGAGAGCCATTAAAAAATTATCGTATAATATTATTTATACCACACCACTGTATTTCAATATTTTATTTATGAGATACATTAAAATTTAGTACTGTTCTAAATAAAATGTCATCAAGTCAAACTATTTTAAAAGGTTGGTTTTGTTAAAAAAACAATAATAAAAAATATTGAACTTGCATTTAATAAAAAAATAATGTACGACAAAGCAATACATACATATATGATATTTTTATATAGTGTTTTATTGATATTGTCTGTTAAAAATACGTTGATCAATAAAAGAAAAATTCAAAAATAATTAACAAACAAATTTATTGCTAGGTAGTTTGTCAACAGATTTTTTTGTTTTTTCCACACAACAAAAATTAATTCAAAAAGTGTGAATTATTAGTTATAAACAATATGTTATTTAAAAAAACAACGTTTTTATATTTTATCTCTATTTTTAAGATCCTTAGACTCACAAAATACTATAAACTTTCGAAAATTGTATAAAAAACCTTATTAACTAGGCACATCATAAAACTTCTTTCATGACGGCTTATATTAAAATATAATTTTGCCTATTTAGAGGAAATATTTCTAGGCAATAACTAGACATTTGAGACCTTACATTATGCTATTTTTTGTTTTGTATTTAATTTGAACAATTTCAATACGCCAAAAATAACCTTTTTGCTTATATAAATGAACAAATAAAGGACGAAAGCGACAAAAAGATAAACGTCTAATAAATGATACTGATAGAAAGGCAGCGTTAAAGTTGCCGGTTGCAAATGGGACGCCCCTTTATGCCTGATGACGTATTCAATCCAAAATATTGCTGTGTCCACTGCTGGCAATGGCTGGTCTCTCACTATTTTCCCTTGTTGTATTATGTTGGATTTGTACCTGCAAATGTATGTAATTTAATGTAAATTAGTTTTGACTAGATTATAACCATTAATTTATTTTTGTTGCAGATATTTTCTTTCAAACATTTTTTCGAAATTTTTTGTAACTATAAAATATTACAAAGTTACCGGTTGATTGAAGGATATAACAAAAACATATAAGGAAATTATTACTACAGTACGTCTGCTGGATCTGTGTCTGTGAAACGAATGCGGACAAAAAACATTTAAATAAACAGCAATATATTTTATACGTCGACTTGACGAGTACGTCACCGCAAATCGCTCCGCCTGCTCATTTTATTGGCTACTTGCAAATTTGTCGAATTTTTATTGATGGGACGCGTCGTCTAATTTTTTACGAAAAACATCGAGAAAATATCGTTTCCCCTCTCACGGATATTACGAAGCTACAGAACGGACAGACGCACTGTAATACCACAGATTATATAGATTATAAACTTATCGTCAAAAGCATTGTTTTTCGTGGTTCCAATTTTCTGAGTCGCGCCCTAGTTAGGTTACTAGTTTGCGCACATAGCACGCCCACTTATGGTCTCTAAAATTGTGCATAGCGCCTCACCGACCCATTTATTACGCTGTTTAAACGCGAGTTTGTTTTTGCGCGCAGGAAATTTTACTCGTTTGTTCACCGTCATAAAAAACAATTTTCGTATTACGAATTAGGGACAATATTTTTATCTGTATACATATAGTATACCTAATCTGTGCTAATACCGAGTAATCTAACCTAACATAACCCTCCCCCCGGCTTCAATCACACTTAAATCTCTAGCGATATAATTTTGATCTCTACCAATTTAAAGCAACTATAGCGGATATAACTTCTGGACTTAAACCATATCTGCTATAGTAACTGCCCAACAGAGAATAATAATATTTTCCAATGACAGTGACACTACATAAATTATAAAAATTATTTTACAAATCTGTTAACTAGAACCAAAAGCAAAGGCATGGTTTTAATTTAAAAATTACGAAAAAATATGAATGTCTTTTTCAAAAGTGGATATCTCCAAAAAAATAAAGCTACTGAGATGAACCAAAAGAAGGAACTATCGAGGAAAGATGACACTAGATGATAAAAGGATTTTTAAATTCCTTGCTTTGTTAACATATTCCACAAAGTGGTTCAAACTTTTACCAAAATATCAACATTTTGTTTTTCCTGGTATAATAAACAGAAGGAAACTTTCATTTTTAATTTAGAAAGAGACACTAAAAATTCAACATATTTAGCTACAAATTACTTACAATATGGCGATATTATTATATAACTTGGTAATATTTGAGGGGTAGTTAGTTTCATCTCGTTGAAATTTGACTTTCGAAAAATCCGTTTGCTTTTTTAATAAAAAAGCTTTTTACGTCAAGCAGTTTAAGCAGAATCGTGGTTAAGAAATTAGCCATCTTTTTGGAACACCGTGTATGATTTTTTAAAAAATTTCAGAATATGTAAAAAAAACAAATAAATTATGCTTGTCCATAGCGTTTTCCCGAAAGACTAACCGTTTTTTAAATAACAAATATTGTAATATTGACGGGCGTGGGCCCTCTTGGAATTTGAGATTCGAGAAACCCCTCCTTATCGAACCTCTACAGCCCACAGTCAATCCGTTTGCCAAAAATCAGCTTTAAACGTCAAGCAGTTTAAGCAGAATCGTGATGACTCAATGGTCATATTTTATAAAACACCCTGTATAAATTTATAAAAAATCTTAAAATTTGTAAAACAACAAAATAAAATATACGTGTTTAAGAGTTTTTCCGAAAAACTCACCGGTTTTGAAATAAAAAGTATTTTAATATTTGAGGGATAGTTTCACCCCCTTAGAATTCGAGTTTCGAAAAATCCCTTTTTATCGAACCTCTACACCTTAAAGTCAATCTGTTTTCCAAAAATCAGCTTTTTACGTTAAGCACTTTAAGCAGGATCGTGATTAATCAATGACCAGATTTTTCGAAACACCCTGTATACATTTTTAAAAAATCTTAAAATATGTAAAAAAAACAAAATAAACATACGTGTTTCAGCGGTTTTTCGAAAACTTGACCGTTTTTTAAATAAAAAACATTGTAATATTTGAGGGGTGGTTTCACACTCTTGGAACTGGAATTTCGAAAAATCCCTTATCGAACCTCTACACCCTAGAATCAACCTGTATGCCAAAATTGAGCTTCTTACGTTGAGTGGTTTGAGCAGGATCGTGATTAATCAGTATGTCAGTCACTTAAGGATTTTATATGTTAGTATAGATTAGGTCTAGTTTTATTTTATTATTAGACTTTTTGATTATTTTTTATAAGTTAACAGTTACTTATTTAATAAACTAAACAAACTCGTAGGAAGTATTTCAATCTTCAATAGAAAACACGTGCTATCCAAAACAAACAAATAAAATACCTATCCTTATTGTGTAATAAGTGATATCTAAAAAATTTACAAATTCTGAAACCCTACGACTTAGATACGAGTATGTTCACGTCAGAGGGCAAAAGATAATTTTTGATGTAAGTTATATGTAATAGATAAAAAAAATCTAACAATGATGTTGAGATACATTGATACAATATCGAGTGCTAATTAAAAAAACATTTCCTCTTAAGTGAATCCAAGCTATAATCACACGTGCCCATAATGAATATTGCTGTTTATGAAACAGCGATATATAATATTAATTGTACCAAATAGGGCCAGATATATCCAGGTTGAGTCTTAAATAAGTGCTAATATTTTCAGAGGTGGTATATTTCGACACCCAGGAACACTTTTAAATTTTCCTATATATTTTAGAAAATTTTATAAATTGCCTGTTCACCGCAAATTTTCCCACTGTATAATTTCTTAATCTCTGATATTACCACAGTTACGGCACGGTAAAGGGGGTCCTACACGCAACGATTTCTGAGAGATTTGAACTGCACAGTTCTTCGATACAGACCAAAACTCAACGTGTAGTGATGGCTTTGACCCAGTGGCGGACTAAGCCCTTCGGAGGCCCGGGGCGGCGAAGCTAAATGTGGCCCCCGGTCTGTTTAGATAATGATAACTTCTAATGCACATTTTGTAAAAATTGAATGACGTATGTATAATGGTTGGCAAAATTCAAGTATTTATACAGGGTGTCCCAGGCTGAGCCTGCGTTAGAAGTTTCTAGAGAACTACAATATCTAGATACGAGATTTTGTGCATACAAAGTGCATATCATTGTTTCACAAGTACCGGAAGTTGACAACAAATTTTTTTAAAATGGGTGACCCCATTTTTTATTACATACTCTCATACTCTCTGTAAAATTTTATGAACTTTGATATTAAACACTCTATACCTAACGTTAACCATTTTTGAGAACAAAAAATATTTATAATTTTTGGAGGAAAAAAACTGCCTGTCAAAAATATGTATATAGCCTAAACGTCAAATTTAGTGATTGCCACAGCCACTGTACCATAAAGAGAAGACACGTGGCTATCTATGTCAAAAATTAAATTGTCCAAATGTCATATAATAATGGCGGCAGCTGTCATGGAATAGAGCGATTAAAACATTACCATAAATCATTTTTTTTTCAAATGGAAATCCACTTTTTTATTTACGATGTACTTAAACAGCCGTTAAACGGTAGCCTACTAAAATGCCGTTAATAGATACTGTGACGTCGTTCATGTCGGCGGAAAGTAATGCCTAGCCTTAAGCATTCTGCAAGGGCACCTGTGGGTCAGTGGCTGAGGCTATCGCTTTGTAAGCGAATGGTCCGTGGTTCAAATCTCACGCCGACCAAGACTTTTTTTATGTTTTTTTTGCTTATAGCGTGATCTTATTGCATTGGTTTCACTCTTTTTAGTTGGATTGGTTTAGTTATTTGGCGGGATGGTTAGCGTGGTTATTTGGAGGGTGTTAATTCATTGGTTAGTTGGTTATTTGGTGGGGTTGGTTGATTTTTACAAATTTATATTTGTTTTTTATATTTTTTATCAGTGTGGAGGTTAGTTGCGTTGATTAAGTTGGTTATTTGGTGGGGTGGATAGCGTTGGTTAGTCCTTATAAAATTCCTATATTTCATAAAGCCATCGAGTGCGTCACATCAACGACGTCATACCTATTAACGGCATTTTAGTAAGCTACCGTTTAACGGCAGTTTAAGTACAGCCTTTTATTTAACTCGTGAAAAGGCTTTCGTTACTTTCGTTTTTAAAATTTGTTACTTTTTGACTATACATGTTCCTGTACCTAAAATAAATCGTTTCTAAGTTATTTAAGATTTAGCTTTAAAGCGTATGTTTTTCTTGATTTTAACCAGTAGCCTATGACAGTATATTATCGATCATCATGTCCAAGCTAGCTTTGCGCTGTTTTTTTTTTAAATAGGCTGTACAATTTTTTTGACAGGTAGTTTTTTTCGTCCAAAAATCTTAAATATTTTTTTCTTAAAAATGCTTCCAGGGAAATACCCTTGAAATGCCACGTAAAAATATCGCGATTTTGTAAGTCCTCCAAGAACCGAGGGGCCCCTTCGCTGTCTCAGGCCCGTGGCCCCCATATACTAAAGACTTCACTGCTCATCATCAGTAATGAAGCTAGAATACAAGTTATATATGATGTGCATTGGTTGTAATTTAAAATGTTTATTCAGTAAAAATATATAATGAAACCATTGAAAAATAACTTAAAAACTAAAATAAATAAATTCAGTCTCAAAATATATAAAGAATAATAATTATTCGATATTTTAAAAACAGAAAATTACCCCTTTGATTTAATTTCCTAAATAGAAAATGCCATTGACAATTACTGGAGCCTGAACATTGATAATTAAGTAAATATCTGCTTCCATTTATACTGTTTATAGTTGGCGTATACTTCGGATGGTTTGCATACTCCACATACAAACTGCTTTATAACTACTGAACACATATTGGCCTTGTTTGCCAGTTGAATAAAAAATTACTTATTAAGATTCGGAGGCCCCCTAGAAGACGGGGCCCGGGGCGGACCGCCCCTTCCGCCCCCTCCCCCCTAGTCCGCCGCTGCTTCGACCTTGAACATGCCTTGTCTCACGAGCTAACGAGAAAAAAAAGTGGGAAGGATCGTGCAAACACTAAAAAACATTTAATTTAAAGCTAAAAAAAGCATTTTAATAAACTGTATACTGTTCCTGGGTACCAATATCCTCTGATTGTATGCTAGGAAGAAGATTTTCATGCTACTCGGTCTAGGTAAAGCATTAAAGCTCATATGCTAGACATGTAAATTAATGTATATTAGAATCCCCCGTTTCAACTGATTCATTTTCATTGGAGGAAAAATCGTCAATATTTATTTCAAACCAATAATTAACGAGAAAATTTCACACCTCTACTTTTCAACCAATAACATGCTTTAACTCGCCTTATCATTCAAACTGAAATAATTTCCGGAAATTTTTTAAATCTCCAAAGGAAACTTTAGTGGAAATTTTCTGACAGTTGAAAAGGTAAACATAAGATCTAAATCATAATGTGAAACTCAAATACAATGTCTATAAATTCAAATAATTAGCATTTGATGTAACTAAGGTTCAACATATTTTTTTTATTTAAGGAAATATGTTAGATATACCTAAATATGAATTTCTTCGAAATTGCCATGTTCTAAAAAATATAGTTCTGCCGCCTTTATTTAACTGAAAGCTGGTATTTTCCTATTTAACGAAATATGATGAATATATATAATGATTTTTTTGTCCAATTTAATTTCATGTTGAATTATCTTCAATGTCCAAATCTTTTAATGATATCGAGCTAATATAGCAATAATAATAACGAAACACATCCATAGTAATTATAGGTTTTATTAATATTAATCCCTCAATTATGTTAAATGTCTTGTAGGCTGGCTTGAATTGGTGGTTTGAATCTGGGTATTTTCTGTCTTTATGTTGCATTGTGCTCTGGATCATGATTGAACTGGCTAGTTCTTGATGAAATGCTCCTCATGGATTCAATACTGACTATTACTATGTCCAGTAATTTTAATGAGCTGTTGTTCACCAACTCCTTTCTTGGCCAAATTTAAACAGCTGTTGCTCTTAACAGAATGATTGGTTATTTTAACTTTTTAGTGTCAATTCCTATATCTGAAGCTGCTGATTTAAACCATGAAGATACAATGTTCTTATCCTCACTGGGCTATTCTTGTACCATCCTTTCAATTGGGTTGATTCAGTATGGGTTTGGTGTTAAGAAGATCTGATATATTTGAAAAAAGAAGTGAACCCTTTCCATCAACCTTCTAAACAAGCGAACCGGACACATTTGTGGATTTTCGAAATTTCTAATCAACCATTTACTATCCGACAGTTTTTTAGAACCACCTTGTGTGGTTTTAGAGAAAATTGGATTATATTCTATCCGACCTTTTGAGTTTCCGAAATTATCAGTTTCTTCTTTGAAGTATTGGATACATGTCCTTCCCCTCCTCTCCATGCCAGCTCATGTGAAACTATATGAAAAAATTTACGCTGCAACCCATCTGGAGTATTTTCATACCACATTTCAATAATTTTGCTGTATTCGTCACTGGTTAAGGCTTAAGCACTCACTTTTCTTTTTGCTGAATCTCTCTGTAGTATTTTGCGCTTAGCATCGCGTGCAGCTCTGGCGGTCACAAATTCCACATCAGAAAACGGATTAAATTTTATTTTATATTTTTCGTAATAAATTTCTTGCAACTGCTTAGCAGTAGAGTTCCACATCACTTTGACCACAGTTTCCTTATAATCTTCAAAATTTTTCTTTTTCATATTAAATGCATAGTCCTCCAGTATAGTAGCCAGCTGTACTACACACATACACTCATGAATATTATACGACTTTTCATCACAAAATTCAACAAACTGTTTCCATACACTTGATTTTGATTTTCGGGTGTTATCTGGTTTTATAAATTTCTTCTTTAATGACTTGTTGGTTTACTTTTCCAAATCGCCCACGGGTGGGTGTACCCCTACACCCACCTTAACACCTCTTAGCCGTAGGTAGGAGCTTAGTGCGTTCTAGAGTTCTAATAGATCGACTTATAGCCTACCCGTCGTTGTCCACTAGGAGCCCACGAGGAGGGGGGTGCCGCTTTAACCAATATGAACTTTTTAAATGTTTCACAAACGTCTCCCAGTAATAATCGCACCTCGGATAAACCTCATTGGTTACGATAATGCCACTGCGCAAAGCTGTATGCTAGGAAGTAAATTTTCATGCTACTCGGTCTAGGTAAAGCATTAAAGCTCATATGCTAGCTCAGAATTAAAATTATTAGAGTTAAGCAACTCGCATTTTCAATGGATGACATCGTCATATTTATTTCAGACCAATAATTAACGAGAATATTCGTATAATTTAACAAAATTACTGTAAACCACTATAAATACGAATTGTTGTATATGTTCAAAATTTTTTCTCTTCTTAAATAAATTTAAGCGTTGCCATTATTAGGCATTTGCATAAAAGTGTGTATTTTGGGTATTCTACAAAATTTGCAGGCTATTGGGGAAACAGAAAATGTACAGCTTTTCAAACAGGTCCTTCAAATCCTCCAATTTAATAGCTGTTAGTAAGAAGTTTCACTTCAAATATGCGCACATAGTGCACACACAATTTTTTTTAAATCTTTAAACTTAAATAACTTGGTTAATTTGGACTTATTTGAAAAACGGTAAAGAGAAAATATGTTTCTTTTATCGAGATTGCCTGAACCGCCCTGAAAATATTTGCACTTATTTAACACTCACCCCGTATAACCCCTAGAGTTAAGGATTTATAATGTCAAGCATATTCTATGCGCTTAATTTTTAATACTATAATATTTATTAAGATCAGACTTATACTTACGATGAAGTAGTCAAAAGCATGCTCAATTTTATTCGAAACTCTTCTTCGGTAAAATCGTAAATATTGACCATTTCGGCAATGCCTTTATTGACACATTTATCAGCATTAGCAGGCTGATCTCCAAACACTGGCATTATTAACATAGGAACACCTCTATCCATAGCTTCGTCAATAGATTGACAACCTAATAAGTAAAGTAATAAGGAATTAACTTTTATTTAGTAAATTGGGCCAAGAATTGCAATACAATAGAGCTTCATAACGGTATGGATAGTGAGAAAAAAATTCTAAATGTACAACTTATTAAACATAAATAAAATACACGGAAAAAGTTAAATTTTGCAAAACTGCAAAACATTTTTTTTTCAAAAATCACAAAAGTATTAATTTTTGCAAGGTGATTGACAATATATAAAAAAGACATTTTAAAGCTTAAGAATAAAAGTAAAGCACTTTTATGCCTAAGCATAAAAGCACCAAAATATATTATTAAACTGACATAAAGTGTGAAATACAACGAGCGTAACTATAATTTCTCGATATATAGTTACTTACAAACCTAGATCATAATATATACTTACGTAGATAAATCAACGCCATAAGTTTAGCATTAAAAATATGTCTCCAACATCCCGACATGCCACTATCAAACCTTCTTTATTGCACTTACGAAACTTTCAATAGGTTTGGCTTCTCAAAAATTGTATTAATTATTCTTTTATCGACCGCTTTTATATAAAAATGAAAAAATTAAATTAATATTAATTATTATATTATTATTTATTAATTTTTATTTTTTTTATATGTTTTTTTTGGCAAGGATTCAAGTGTGTTCAGTGAGGAATTAATTTTAAGTTTGTGGAATTATACCTATTTCCATTTTTTTTTCGTTGGACTTTCTAAATATTCGTAAAAATGACTATGAAACTCTTTTCATAGGCAAGTAAAGTATTCAGTTGTACTTGTATGTATTTATATTAAACCACATGCATACATTCTGGTTAAGTTTCCTAGGAATCAATTTATTGTTCAAATATATGTATTTTACAAATTAAATTTTTAAAATTTGTTAAACATACAATATTCATGATTTTACCTTTACCTTATATCAAGGTTGATTGAAGTAGTATTGAAATATATATTGGTTTTTAGTTTTGCAGTTGTCAAAATTGATATATGTAATTTGTTATTATTTTCTAAAGAAGATTGTGAATTGATCGTCAGGCTGTTTTATTTAACAGGTTATTGGCCCAGACACGGGACTTTCAAGTTTGTAAGGGCAGCCTGTTCGGTCGCGATATACTATACTGCTATTACTCGCTGACGAGTATTTGACACGCATCAGAAGATGGTCACGCAAGGCGTTTTCTTTCATGAGCCTTTCTGTGACTGAAAAGCCCAATACGTGATGTTATTTGTCTAACGCACTCCGGACATTCAAAAATCTCATTGCTTTGTTGCCTCTTAACTTTTTCGTTCTCGCTGTTAACTGAGTTTGCAATTCTTCTCCATTGAGTTCTATTGTGAGCGGCTACTTCCCACTCATTCTGCACATTAATCCCCTTTAAGTTTTCGTGGAAAATGTTCTTGTACCTTTTGAGTTGTCCACCTGGCCTCCTCTTACCGTCTACAAGCTCACCGTAAAGCAGTGATTTTGGTATGCGGTTTTCTTGCATTCTGCATACGTGACCAGCCCATCTTAGTCGGGATTTTGTAACCATGACTTCAATACTCTCGCAGTTAGCTTTTTCAAGAACCGATACGTTTGAGACGTGATGGAACCATTTGATTCTTAAGAGTTGTCTAAGGTGTCTCTGTTGCAACTTGTTTAATGCGTTCATGTGTCGGCGGTACGGCACCCAGGTTTCGCTCCCATATAACATGGTGGGGATTATTATTGCTCGGTACACTGCAAGTTTCGTTTTTGTGCTCAGGTCATGGTTGTAAAAAACCAAAGACATTATAAAGATAGACCGAACATCTCATTCATAAATACTCGTTGGTAGTGTATCAAACATTCCAATGTGTCAAACAAGGACAGAAGAGACAGAGAAGTCTAAAATTTCCGACCCCGGCAACTAGGCGCATTTGGGATTGTTCTAATGGCCAGTGGCGTATCGTTTTTTGGAGCGAGTTTAATTAGTAAACTAAAAGTAAATTAATTAGTAAAATTTTTACTCCATATTAATATACTACATTAACACTTTTTCGTCAGATGAGTTTTGTTATAAGGTCTAATATAATAATACAATTAATATCCCACATATACTTATGTTGAAACGTTAGTAGTTTTCGAAAATTACTCCAACGTCGATTTTCAATTTAAACTTTCAGTTACTTCTATATAACCTTTCAGTTACTTTTGGATATTTACAGGGTGACTCAGGCTTCCAAAACAGTTCTATATTAGGTTTGTGGTTGGTGACTTTTCTTTCAATTTTTTTTTCAGAATATGGAGGCATTTAGGCACATATTAGACATTTTTGTAAACACAGGTGGCCGGAACATATTTTCAAACCAAAGTTGTAGATTTGCCATTAAATTTCCATTCCAGAAATACCTAGGGTTGCCACTTGTCCTTTTTTGAAAAGGACAGTCCTTTTTTGGAATAACTTGTCCTTTTGACTTTTTTTGACTTAAAAAGTCATTTTTATTTACGTATTTTCCCTGAGAAAATTACCTACAGCAAACAGAAATATTCTTTTCGCCCAAATTTAATTAGGAATGTTATAAAACTTAACTTATAAATAAATTTTTCTTGTTTAGATAGGCAACATTATTTAGAACTTCCCGTTTAATCTCAAATGATAGTTTAGGTTTTACCTTTTTTATCTTAAAAAGAACTTTCAAAATTAGTACCTAATTAGTAACGATTTAGTTAGTTCGCAATTGATAGCTTCCTGTGAAGTACTGTGTAATAGTTGTTTAATCTTTGTATTATTAATAACTTCCCTATACCTAAAATCAATATTTAATGAGAAAATTGTGTTTTTTTTTGAAAATATAAGACAATATTTGACTTTCGGTCTTCTTCTTGTATTATGATGGCTCTGATACGAGGCAATTGCCTTTTAGTCTCGCAATAGAAGGCATTTATCATTAAAAGTATAAAATCTGTGTGCTACAGTATGGGATTTCTGTCGCATAATAATAAATACCTATTACGTGTATTTACAAATCCATTACTTTTAAAGGTAGCTTCATCAGATAATCAAATTTTAGTTAAATGTCCTAATCTTCATGAACTGTATTAAGCATATGTATTGCGGTTTGAATGTCATATTCGTATTGCGGTTGACGGTCACCCTGTATGTTGACAAAAAAATTTTGAAAATGTGCGTTACAATGGCCCCCATCTTATGTAAAGAATTGAAATAAAAATCACAAACCAAAAACGTAATAGGTAAAAAGCTTTTTTTTGACATAGGTATGTATAAAACTAGTAGCCTAAGAATTATTTACAGTTCGTCCCATTCTAAAGTTAAACACACCGTACAAATAACTCTAGGAAGATGTATTTGTACGGTGGTAAAAAATTGTCTAAACAAGGCCGAAGGCAGATATAATAATGCTAATAAAATGTAAAAAGGTCGGGTAAACACCTTTGTTTATTTATTAAGCAAAATTCCTTTAGAATATCGTATATAATGACCAAAATAAGACGCAATTTTAAGAAAAAATGTCACTTTCTGGCTTATAATAAAGTTTCAAATGTAACGTTTATATTCAAAATTTTTATGATCTACAACAGTTAGGTAGTAATTGAGACGAATTATAATTCAATTACCGGCTACTACGTTCTTGTTTTAATAGATCAAAAATTCAACAAATATAATTAGAAATTACTTTAATTGTGAAAGGCTCCCTTGTGGGACGCCTATGTACGATTACGGCGCGGCGGAAACAATACCTACCTGTAAAAAAGACAAATTCGGGTAATTTGAGCTTATTTGTCCACACATTTGGCACTGTCGTACCCATATTGAAAATTCGCAGATTCAAAAGTACATTAAACAAAAACAAAAACTACTGAAAAACATTGAAAAGTTCACTTCGGACTTGATTCCGACTTCAAACACACCGTAAGCTAAACGTAGTACGCTATAACGGACCATAGGCCGTCGAGAGGGGTGGTGGGACGGACGGCTCATTTCATGCTGCAAGACTAGCAGCGACGTTGCCAGTAGTTCTAGACGTTTCAGCACATTAAACAGTAAACATGTCTTTTAATAGTAACGCATATATCCTCTGGTTAATAACATACATATTATTACGCATGCTTTTAAAAAATAAACTATTAATTTAATTAAGAAATTGAGATTTATTGATATCCGGTGAAGGTTTTAAAGTCGCCTTTTCTGCAAATCAAACTAAGTAGATAGGCGCAAATTTGATATGTGGCAATGTCGCCTTCTCTATCTCAGTTGATTTTTACAGTACGTAGTCAACCTCCGAATGTTTGATCGGGTTAAAATGCATAATGTGATATCTGTTCTTCCTAAATCTATGTAAAAAACCCTGTCTTTTAATTTCCAGAATGCTCTTGAAGCGCTGCTAATCCTGTGCTGAATTTCAGAGTCGATATTGACCTTTTCCGAAATCAAACTGCCGAGATAATTAAATTCCGCTACATATTCCAGTAGTTCTTCTCCGATTTTTATAGCATTGTTGTGATCTTCCGGGGGAGTGCACATGATTTTAGTTTTGTCGATGTTTAGCTTAAGGCCCAAAGCCTCGTATGCCCAGGTATATGTGTTCAACATTTCTTGTAATTGCTGTACAGTTTTTGCAACTAGAGCGCAATCGTCAGCGTATTGAAGTTCTGTGATGAATTTTGTGCGTGTTTTTGCCCTGAGTCTTTTTATGTTGGACATAAACGACATGCGATATAGTATTACACGTTCAAGTCATGTCGTGGACATAGTTTATTTTGTCGGTACGTTCAAGTCGTATTAAAATAAACTCTAGTGATGGCGTCAAGTATCAAGTTTGATTCTGGAAATATTACAAAGTTTGATGGATCTAATTTTCAACTCTGGAAATTTAGCGTGACTATTCTATTTAAAAAAAGAATTTACTTCCAATCGTAAACGGAATGGATACAGAACCTTCAGATCAAACTACCAATGAATGGAAAGAATGGGATAGAAGAAACTCAAAGGTCCAGGTTATTTTGTTATCGACAATATGTCAAGATCAAATACAACATTTGATAAATTGTGAAAATGCTGCTGAAATGTGGTCAAGATTGATCACAATACATGAGCAAAAGACAGAAATCTCTAGAGAATTACTTTGGCAAAAATTATATGAGTATAAAATGCCCGAAAACGGAAAAGTTGCGGAGCATATATCTACAATAGAGCTACTAGTTAGACAGCTCAAAGACGTAAAATAAGCTATCAGCAATAGTGCAATTTGCTCGAAGGTAATCAATAGTTTACCTCCAAGATTTAATGCTTTTCGCACTGTCTGGGATTCAGTATCGAGTAGCGAGCAAACTTTTACAAATTTAGCAGCAAGATTATTAAAGGAAGAGACTAGAATGAATAATGATGAGTCAGAAATATCTCGCCTTGCTTTACAGGTAGAGGCTTTACAAAGTAAGCTGGAAGCCAACACGAAAAAGAACATTGTGAATTGATCGTCAAGCTGTTTTATTTAACAGGAGTGTTTGAAAACTTTGATTTTTGAAACATACAATATTCATGATTTTACCTTTACCTTATATCAAGGTAGATAAGTAGTATTGACATATATGTTAGTTTTTAGTTTTGCAGTTGTCAAAGTTGATATATGTAATTTGTTATTATTTTCTAAAGAAGATTGTGAATTGATCGTCAGGCTGTTTTATTTAACATAATTAATGTGCAAATTGAGCGCTAGGACGATAGGTTCTCGACAAGGATAAATAGAGTAAAAGCACCGCGTGTGCAACAAAAAAAGAAGATAAATGGAAGTCGCTGATATGTTGGCGACAGTTTCCATAGTGATTTACATATCCACCTTAGTATATATGATCTAGACTTACAAGGTATTACTTTTGAATATTATTTTTATATTATTGGGAACGCTTAAATTTTTTTAAAAAATTATTTGTGACGTTTCATAAAAAGCATGTTCTATTCGGAGTAAAAATCGTTTTTTGTGTCAAACCAACAGTTTCATCACAAAAATTATCATTTTTACTGCTAATGCAATAATATACTATTGTTACCTCCTTGTGTGATAAAAAGCTTTACTTTCTCGTGTCCTAAAAGATCTTGTTGGGGATACCACTTTCGAATATAGAAATTTTTATGAATATTTTTGGGCAAATTGACTAGGTCCGATTTCCAGAGGATGGTATACGGTAAACTTCCCAATACTTTTATTATAGTATCCATTACATTCTTTGCAATTTTGGATGACTTCACATTGGTCCCTAAACTAAAGTAAATCACATCTGTTTTCAGCTTATCCAGGTATTCACCTAAATCCTTAAAACATATTGATTAGTCATTTTATCACTATTTAATTTTTATCGGCTTGCTTTTGGTAATGGCTGAATAGGCTGAACATGCAAAGAACTAACAGCAACATATTTTCCATTTCTTGCCTTCAAGTTGTCTAGAGCAAAATTAGAGCTTCCAATAACTAGTTCCACTTCGTTCGTCAACTGGGTTGCAGATTTCATATCATTACCGAAATACTTCCTAATTTGATCATCAAATATCGGTGTCACTTTATATTGAAAAAATACTCTATACGCCCAATTAAAGAGCCAGCTCTGTAACCTCTGCTTAAAGTTTTTGGCAAACGAAAAATCCAGTAAGAATTCTGGATCCACTACAGGGTGTTTCTCAAGACCTACGACGTCCGCTGTGGTGATCGAAAGTGGAAAAGACAATAGTCCGACCATAGGGACTTTATAAATTTCTTTCAAGGCATAATAGGGCTGCCAAAAATACTCCACTATCAGCAAATCGTATGTGTCTTTATTAACATTTTTCAGTAGATCTTGCAAGAAAGGGTGGTTAAGTTGAGCTTCAGAAGCCTTGACGCATGCAAGTAGTATTTGCATTAATTCATCATTTGGTGCGCTGTCGGTATCTTCAAAATTACTATAATTTCTAAATACTTCATAACTAAAATTTAAGTCGTATTCGGTCAAATTAGTAAGGGACTTCTCGTTTAAAGGACTCGGGGTGTACACAATTACTTGGTGGCCTCTCAGAGACAGTTCTTTCCAGACCGGTTGAAAAACTTGTTGATGACTAAAACTCGGAGTCATGAATACCCCCAGAATTTTGGCCCCATTTATCACGGCCAGGAACAGACACAAGCACAAAACAACATTAAACATTTTTACTTGCTTCAGCTTTAAGTTTAAAATCTATGTGATCGGAAATAAAAAAAATCTTTTTTATAAGTGGCTAGATAAACGATTGTCATGAAAGCACTTATTTGTAGTTATTAGTGATAATAAAGAAGTACTGATTGTTATTATTAATGGTTTAAGTAGTATTTAACTATATCATTATTTAAAGGATTAATCAGCTTACTTTTTTTGGCCCAACCTTGCGATTGCCAAACTTATATCTTGTATATCACATATCTTTGTTTTTTTGATGATGATTTTAAGAAAAACAACGGTTTAAAACATATAAAATTTATTTAGAAAATAGACAAGATAATAAAATATTCTGTACATCAACGATTGCGATATAGCCAATCAAGATTGTTTACTTTCCTACCAGATAAGTTAGATCAGTGTACGATTGTAGGTATTGGATATTTTCAGTGCTAATAGTAACGAGAGCTAGCAACATCGGGAAAACAATTATTTTAAGAAAGCTGGCTCTTCGATATATCTTTTACTATGCTCTCTAGAACAGCGTGCGGGCTCTCTGGCTGCCGGTAAACGTTTTGTTCACTGCTGCGCATTGAAAAAAGATCCTATATTTTTTATTTAGTCTTCTGAATTCTAGTATTGAATATAAACCATAGATTTAGTAAGAACAGATATCACATTGTGCATTTTAACCCGATCAAACAATCGGAGGTTACTACGTACTGTAAAAACCAACTGAGATAGAGAAGGCGACATTGCCACATCTCAAATTTGCGCCTATCTACTTAGTTTGATTTGTAGAAAAGGTGACTTTAAAACCTTCACCGGATATCAATAAATCTCAATTTCTTAATTAAATTAATAGTTTATTTTTAAAGAAGCATGCGTAATAATATGGTTATTAACCAGAGGATATATGCGTTACTATTAAAGGACGTGTTTACTGTGCTGAAACGTCTAGAACTATTGGAAACGTCGCTGCTAGTCTTCCAGAATGAAATAAGCCGTCCGTCCCACCACCCCTCGCGACGGCCCTTGATCCGTTATAGCGTACTACGTTTAGCTTACGGTGTGTCTGAAGTCGGAATCAAGTCCGAAGTGAACTTTTCAGTGGTTTTTAGTAGTTTTTGTTTTTGTTTAACATACTTTTGAATCTGCGAATTTTCAATATGGTAAGACAGTGTCAAATGTGTGGAAAAATAAGCTCAAATTACCCGAATTTGTCTTTTCACAGATAGGTGTATTGTTTCCGCCGTAATCGTACATAGGCGTCCCACAAGGGAGCCTCTCACAATTAAAATAATTTCTAATTATATTTGTTGAATTTTGATCTATTAAAACAAGAACGTAGTAGCCGGTAATTCAGGGCCGTATCTAGACCAAAATTTCGGGGAGGTTCGGCTTGGGGGGTACAAAAGCTGCTAGGAAAAAGCATAATAAAAAGCTTTGGGCTCACTCAAATCTTAATTGAAAATAAAATTTTAAAAAAGTAACAGGTAAAAATTATTAATCTTAAACGATAAACTGGTCTTTTCCCTGGAAAAACGATTGACTACCTCTTCGATATCGATATTTATTTATCTATGTCCGCTTAATAGAGCAAGTCCTGTCAATCGCTCTTGACCTGTAGAGTTACGTAGGAAGTCCTTCAATCGTCTTGTGCCGCAACCGCACATGCGGCATTTAGCGAACTCCTAGCGCTCGTCAACTACCGAACGCTCGTGATAGGACTTCGCCTTTCCATCCACGCATGCGGGCTCTGATAGCAACAACATAGAAATAAGCGCTCGTTCGTCGAACTCCGACTTCCTCATCCACACACATAGGAAATCGGCGAAGCCCCGATTGGAGATCGCCGAATGCCGCTTGAAAAAGGCCTTACTGGTGTAGCTGTTGACGCTGGTAGAGTTGCTAGGATCATTAATAAAATGTATATATTTGGAAATATACACTGGTTACAGTCCGATTATCGTTTCGATGACGTTTTTAGGTCGGTCGACTGCAGGTAGCTGCTTCCATTTTTGCCGTCACAAGTCTAGTTGTGCCGCTAAAGTGTCATAGCCCAAGAATTCTTTGTCTAATAGCAGAACAATAACAAACGTTAATCACGTTAATGACCAGCAAAACTCACAACATTCAAAATCTTGTCCTTGTCTTTTGCTGTTTTAAACACTTGAATGTTGAAAGTCGAAAATCGAAAATAACATTTGCTTTCAAAGTGGAAAACTGAGGTTAGGGTGTATAATGTATATTCATCAATGACTAAAAAGTACAAGGACAAATAGCACCCGAGACCAAACTGTGACCATTCTTCCAAACAGTGCCGTGGCACATATTTTACTTAACATTGCCGCTTGAAGGGATATTTATATTTTTGATATTATATGTTTTCACTACGCCTATGGTGTATCGGGTGGTATCATACTAATTAATTACGAAAAAAACGTATTAAAATGTTAACAAAAGGTACATAACTAGTATCGACGTATAGTACATATCAAGTACATATAATATCAGAAAAATAATTATCGAATTCAATAAAAAACGCTAAAAAGGTGTAGGGGACTGTTTATTTCCCTATAAAACGTAACTTCTGCCTCTTTCTTGTCATTGCGCCTTTTACACTTGAAAGCTGAACAAATTACCATTGTAATAAAGTTTATACAAAGTTCACTACACACAACCAACTATTAAAAATCGCTAAAATTGTCGTATATATAATAAGATCGGGGCCATTGTAACGCACATTTTCAATATATTTTTGTCAACATACAGGGTGATTCAAACCGCAATACATATGCTTAATACAGTTCATGAAGATTGGGACGTTTAACTAAAATTTGATGGTCTGATTAAGCTACCTAAGTAATGGATTTGTAAATAAACGTAATATTCTTTATTATGCGACAGAAATCCCATAGCACACAGATTTGATACTTTTAATGATATATACCCTCTATTGAGAGACTAAAAGGTAATTGCCTTGTATCAGAGCCATCATAATACGAGAAGAAGACCGAAAATCAAATCTTGTCTTATATTTTCAAAAAAACACAATTTTCTCATTAAAATAAATATTGATTTTAGGTATAGAAAGTTATTAGTAATACAAGATTAAACAACTATTACACAGTACTTCACGGCAAGCTATCGATTGCGAACTAACTAAATCGTTACTAATTACTAATTTTGGAAAGTTCTTTTTAAGATCAAAAAAGGTAAAACTAAAACCTAAACTATCATTTGAGATTAAACGGGAAGTTCTAAATAATGTTGCCTATTCTAAACAAGAAAAAATTATTTATAAGTTTTATAACACCTCTAATTAAATTTGGACGAAAAGAATATTTCTATTTGCTGTAGGTTATTTTCTCAGAGATTAAACGGGAAGTTCTAAGTTCTCTTCTTCTCTCAGGGAAAATACGTAAATAAAAATGACTTTTTAAGTCAAAAAAAGTCAAAAGGACAAGTTATTCCAAAAAAGGATTTTACCCTAGGTATTTCTGGAATGGAAATTTAATGGCAAATCTACCAGTTTAGTTTGAAAATATGTTCCGGCCACCTATGATTACAAAAATGTCTAAAATGTGCTTTACCATTACCTCCATATTCTAAAAAAAATGGAAGAAAAGTCACCAACCACAAACCTAATATAGAACTGTTTCGGAAGCCTGAGTCACCCTGTAAAATATTCAAAAGTAACTGAAAGTTTATATAGAAGTAACTAAAAGTTTAAATTGAATATCGACGTTGGAGCGATTTTCGAAAACTACCTACTAACGTTTCAACATAATGGGGGGGATCGTGGGATATTAATTATATTATTATATTAGACCTTATAACAAAACTCATCTAACGAAAAAGTGTTAATGTAGTATATTAATATGGAGTAAAAAATTTACTAATTACTTTACTTTTACTTTACTAATTAAATTCGTTCCAAAAAACGATACGCCACTGGCCATTAGAACAATCCAAATGCGTCTAGTTGCAGGGGTCGGAAATTTGAGACTTCTCTGTCTCTTCTGTCTTTGTTTGACACATAGGAATGTTTGATACACTACCAACGAGTATTTATGAATGAGATGTTCGGTCTGTCTTTATAATGTCTTTGATATAAACCGAGTGAGTCTTTATAGCGTGGCGCGAAAAGTTTCCTCTTATGAAGCGAGGTGTCCGAATTTGAGACCGGGTCTTCTGCCCCGCATGCTGTTCCAGAGAGCATAGTAAAATATATATCAAAGAGCCAGCTTTCTTAAAATAATTTCTCGAAAACGTTGCTAGCTCTTAGACTATAACGATGTTGTATCGATATTGAAATGGTATATCGAGGTTTAAAAGACAGGACCTGGTATTTACGAAAAACTAATTTTACAGCAGCCAATAAACACTTTTGAGAACTGTTATTCCATTTTACCGCGTAATTAAATCTGCCTTTTAGCCCTCGGTATGTTTCTTAATTACAGGGTGTTTCAAAAAAAGTGGTTAAAGGTGGTGGGTGTTAAAGTCTTCATCTTTTTCCATTTATTATACTTTTCTTCCAAGTACTTTTAAAGTTTCGAATGAAATTTTGAGGGTAAAAATGACTATGAGTGCGACATATTTTAATGCTAAAAAAGTGTCGAAATATTCACCAGGGACGTGCACATGGGTTATCACTGGAATATTTTTCTAAAAAAATATGTGCGCCGCTGCCTTTTTTGTTTTGTTGGCAAAATTGTCTAGAGCGTTAAATGCTGATTAAAAGTCGATTCTTAATATTTTGTGATTTTTGATTTTTGTTAGCAATTTAACTAATTTGCCTTAATCCAATTCTAATAGCAACCTTTAAAAAAAAATTGACACAACATGTCATTAATTTGTCAAAATGTTAAATAAGTATTCATTGATTCCTCATCAAAAAATATAAAAAAAAGTTGCTATAAACAAGGGCGCGGAAATGCATAGTTTTAAAGTTACAGGATGTTTTAAATAAATAATGTTTTAATTTTATTAATTATGATTAATAAAATTGTCTTTATCTCCTCGAGGAGATCGAAATGGGCAAAATACCCAGATG